ATTACAGTGTCTGTTTAAAAGAAATAAACATCCACACCACTTTGGACAGGAAGTTATTGGGTAAGAGATGCCACTTCTGAGAAACTGGGATGGCCACAGGACTTAAGAAGTGATGGAGAGGTGCCTTTACTAAACTCAGATCAAAGCATTAAAAAAAAAAAATCTTATCCCTAATTTTGAATCAATTATACATAAGGTATTAAAAAAACATGAATGCAGAAAGAAAACAAAAAGGGATAGTTTCCAAGCAGACAGGGTGAAATAAGGGACATTCAATGGAGGTGGGAGTATTTTGCCCTGGGTCTATAGCAGGTAGCAAGTAAGGGATGGATCAGCACCCCAAACCTAACTGTATTCATCACTAGTTTTTAGGTAGTAGCTATATCATGAAAGTTTATTATGAGCTTTTGTACACCTTTGGCCAGATCCTCAACTGGTATAAACTGGCATATATCAGTTTGTAGCAGCTGATGATCTGGTCCATTGTGTTCTTACTAATTCCTTTTTCTCTTAACACTTTCTGAATAAGTATAATTGTCCTCATTTGGTTGTGACCACTGTTACTAGTTCAGCTAAAGTAAAGGTCATTGTTTCAAGAAATGAAACTGTTCTCATCGCCATCTAATACAGGAGTCCTACTGATGGGAAAAATCAGGTGTGAGGCAATGTCATGAGAATTTAATAAAAAGCATCATTACTTTAATTCTTTTGCACCAGGTTTCAGATTTTTTTTAAACATGTGGCTGGTCATTGAAAAAAGACATCTCAACCCTGCAAGTGCCAGAGAAATAAAGAAAAAACTCACTTTGATGGTCTTTCTTCCCCATACAGTTGCACTCAAGCAAGTCATGGGTAACACAGCTGGAATCTTCATGTAGTATAAAGAGGTTTCTAAGCTCCTCAGTGGAAAAATGAATATGTTCAGATGTCTTGGAAAGATCTACAACTGCCCCAGAAATATCTTGCTTGCTGATTTGTCTTTGATAAATCTTCTCTTCTATTGAGCCTGCATTGAAAGACAACTAATACATTAAGGTTAATTTTAGACTAGTTTTATAAAAGAAGATGAAAATTCCCTGATAATGGGATAATCTGGAAATGTTAACATAATATTTTCAGTTATTAAAGAGTATTTAGAACAAAGTAAAGCAACTGGTTACCCCTTTGCATCTATGAGAGATCTCCCTCTATTTTCAGTAACTGAGTCTAATGTAAATGTTTTCATGTCCTTTATAACAGATGTTTTACAAAATTCACTACTTTTTTACACTGTTAATAGCTCACATTTCCTCCCTCAAGGGTATGCTAGAATACCATTTACATTTATAATATTTCTGACCTGTAGTTAGCAGTCTGTAAATATGCACAGTATGTTTCTGACCATCTCTCCACACTCTGGCCATTGCCTGAAGAAAGTAAAATAGAAAAGATCTTAAAAGACCATTATACAAAAGAGATTTAGCCAAAATATGCATGTTCTTCTGAGCAAATGCCAAGCTCTGCTAGCTCATTAAAAGGAACAATATCAAAATAATACATTCCCACAAAGTTATCCTTGACTGTGTTACTATTATAATTTTAGGTACAGCCATTTTAAATATTTTTTAAATAAATTTGCTTTTTACCACTTATGCCAATTACTCATTGCATCACAAATACATATCCAGCACATGTCCGTGTAACACCAGATGCAGTATTTTGCAAGCTGAAGTATCTGGGGTTTATTTTACTAGGGCGTGTTTCTTGAAACACATCCCAAGTGACCGTGGTGAGCGGAATTTGGAACAAAGACAAAGCAAAATACCTAAGAGTTCCTTTCAGGGGTTAAAAAATTAATATACATGTACAAATGGAGGCCTAGCATTTAGAAGGGTTTTTTTAAAAATACAGAATTATTAAAATGTTCTTATGCCAACAAAAATAATCCCTAAAGCACTTCTGTAATAATTACAAGAATTGCACTAGTTTTCTTTTAACATCTGTTACCACTTGACTTCTTTCCTCTTTCTACACTATACTCAGGACGTCTCTTCAGCAGTATTTGCTATGTAGTCTGATCAGTAATTTGATTTCACTTTTGGAAAAAAAAATAGAGATGATGGAAGCCAGGGCCATGCAAGACATCCCTCCAGAGGGAAAACAGATCGATTCCTCTGTCCTGTATGCTCCCTGTTTGCCACAGTTAGGTGCTCTAAATTTATTTTACCTTGAATTTTCAAATTAGGCACCAGCAGCTCTGACTGCATGTTACAACACAAGGCACATACAACACACATAACAACTGAACTGTTCCCTGTCTATGACTGGGAACTAGTTCACAACTCTCACGGGTCAGAGGTGTTCACATGCACAGTGTCCTAGCATTCCAGGCAGAACAGTCACCTTTCAGGGGTTGAAGTGCTGTGGCTCAGGCACCAAAGGGTGGGAATAAGCACCTAACCCAGCATGCTTTACAATGAGCAAGGGGTGATGGGGAGGGAACAGAAGACGAGTGTTTGAACCCACGCTCCGAGAGCCCCACAGGATAGTCCCATGTTTTGGTTTCCCTTCTCTCCCAAACATGAGTTCACTAAAATTCAACAGCCTGCGCTGACAAGTAGTATGTTTACCTGACTTGGGGTAGGGGGGAAAGAAGGCAGTGGGGAAGAGAAATGAGTGCTTGGACCCATGTTTTTGGGTTCCCAGGGATTGAGGGGAATATGATAAGGGACCATGAGTAGAGATAGAGTAGGGAGGGAAGACATAGTTTCATTGTTTCTAGGGTCGGAACGGACCTGAGCAGATCATCGAGTCCAACCCCCTGCCATGGCAGGAAAGAGTACTGGGGTCAAACAACCCCAGCAAGGTGTACATCTAGCCTCCTCTTAAAGACCCCCAGGGTAGGAGCCAGCACCACGTCTCTTGGAAGCTGGTTCCAGATCCTAGCTGCCCTGACCTGAGGCTTCGGGAATGGTGTCTCGAGGCAGGCTTTGGCTTTCTTGACAATGACCCACACATCACAACAAGAGACATGCTCAGGTGAGATGGGCTCCACATTTCCCTTAAAGGTAAGTGTGTGTTTTCTTCTAGATTGGCGGATCTCCTCCGGCGGGCTTTAAACTAGGCTCGTTGGGGGAAGGGGAAGACAAGGGCAGAGGAGACATTGGACTGCCAGACCAAGCAACACCCACAAGTACAGCCCAGCCTAGGCCGATGAGTGGAACATATACACAGGTAAGCGACAGGAGCCAGGGTAATGCTGAAAGTAGGGGGCCAGTGCACACATCCACAGGAGGCCTCAAATGCCTCTACACAAACGCTCATAGTATGGGACACAAGCAGGAGGAACTTACCCTCCTGCTAGCTGACACCAACCCGGACTTAGTGGGGATCACTGAAACGTGGTGGGACCCAACACATGACTGGGCGGTGAATGTCAAGGGCTATAGTCTGTACAAGAGAGACGGGATAGGAAGGAACGGTGGGGACGTGGCACTCTACATTAAGGAGGGATACACATCCTCATCAATTAGCAAAGAATCAGACATAGCTGGTTGTTAAAAAGATAGCTTTTATAACCAAGCAGTACAAGGGAGCTCACTGAAAAATGTACTACCAAAAGGGTTGGGGGGGGAAGCATCAGTAGAGTTCTGGCTGCATACTGGAGTGGCTGGTTGCAAGGTGGGCTGGCAGGGGGGGCGAGGAGGAGAAAAGCAATGCAATGTGGGATGCCTGGGAGACCAACCAGACCTATGTCACAGAATGCTTTATGTCCACACGTAATATGTACCTGGTGCACAGTGCACCAGGTTCAAAATAGTAACTGATTTTCCAGGTACTCTTCTGAACCATTCACCAAAACTAGCCTAGGTATTATATACTTCCACACCCATATCTGATTAACATGGGTTCAAACCTGCAGGGATACTTTTGATAAAGGAATAGCGCTAACTTAAACAACTTGCCTTTCTCCACAAACATGAGCTTTCTTCCAATATTATCTTTGTCTAGATGCGTGTAGACTGATAGTCAATTACAGACCAGCAAGAGATTTAAGAATATTTTAGAAGCCACTTCCACATTAATCAAAACCCTATTTGGTCTACATCCCATCCCTGATATAAACAATTGTATCAAACCTGAATATCAGTAGCTGGATTCCAGTCGATATCATATAGAATTAAATGAGATGCACCAACAAGGTTCAGACCAACACCTCCAGCCTTTGAACTTAGCAAAAAAATAAACGCTGGAGAGAATTTATTATTAAAACTATCAACGATCTGTTGTCTCTGGGAGACAGGCGTTTGTCCATCAAGTCTGGTATAAGAGTATCCATAATGCTTGCACATCTCTTGTAATATATTCAGTGTCTGAGTGTAATTAGACACCAGCACAACTCTGTCAAACAGAGAAACAAAGAACTTAGTTGCACACAAGCAGCAGAAGGTAATAAAACTATAATATTTTTATTTATTGCAGGCAACTAAAAAAAATAAAACTACAAGTCAAATTTGAAAGCACTGTCTTTCCAGCAGGACTCTGCTTAATGTACAAATTGAAGGGGTTTACTTATTTAATTTAGATTTAGATTTCCATTTATACAAAATAGGTCTGCTAAGGAACTACATATTTCTAAACAAGGTGCTATCATAACTATTAAATAATAACTTTGGCTTCACTTAAACAAAAAGCTGCTATGAATATTTTCACAGAACCTGAGAGAATTCCAACAAGATAAACTACTGATAGGCCAAACGGAGGTCTATTTTAAGCCAATGTTGCTTCCCCAAACTTTGGGGTTTGCATAACATGAAACAAGAGAAAGAGAAGGGCAAAAGACATTTCATAGTTGCAGGTATTATCACAATTTTTGGTAATTTTGGTCTTTTGGTCCTTTGAACTACTGACTGTGCAGTTACCTGCACTATATCACTGAACTTTTTTTATGCACTGTAACTCCATTAACACCTTGGTAGGTAAAAAGATACAGAGCTTTAGTGCACTTCAGGTGCTGCATGATGACTGCCCACGTGCATACTCTTAGCCAGCAGTAGATGAATGCTAACTGCAGTTAGATTAATTGGCTGTGCCTCTCAGTAGAGCTACTTAGCTCAGGTACAGTGCCGTGCAAATGTGGCTACCCTGCTCCACATTCAGGACACAGCACAGAAAATCATGTGGTGTTCTTCAGCATGGCACCACATGGTACAGTGAGAGGTGTCAACATGCCAATCAAGGGAAAAGCTACTGTTGTTTAAGCTTTCAGCTGCTGCAAGGTAAGAGATTTCACATGAGGCAGTTACTATGAAGTACATGATACATGGTAAAGGTGCACTCATTTTTACTCTACCATAAATTATCTGCATGTCTACACCCTCCATCTCAGAAATCTGTAAATGCAGAATGTTTCTTTCTCTTTAACTCCTGGGAAGGACTGTACTGAGTAAGGGAAACAGCCAGTCTAACATCAGCCACAAAAAATATTAACCATATGGAGCATTTCATTGCCAGCTCTGCCTGAAGGGCACAGAATGAATGGAACTTAAATTATAAAAAAAAAAAATGCTTAATATTAAATCTAAAAACAATGAGATATAAGGGATGTATTGTAGGGAAAAAGCCAGTAAGGGGTCCAAGACTACATATGTCATTAGTGGAAATGTATCTGTAACAAATTATGCATTCAAGAATTCTGCTGTGACAGGATGGCGTTAAGTGAAACCACACTGGACTCTGGGCTTGACAAACCACTCCAATTCACACCTGGCTTTTATTCTTCAGTAGGAAAGATATTCTGAAGTAGGATAAATACAGTGTAAAAGATATGAATCTGGAGCAACATACAGAAAATACAATTAAATGCTGGTGAATGCAGAGTAAAGCATAGCTAAGGGACAACTGTTTTCTTAAAATATTACAAAATAGCCCTGAATGTATACAGGAAGAGTCAAAGTTGCTCACTCTGAGTTGTCATTCAGCAACAGGAGACAACTATCTCCCTTAGAACCAAAATGATGGGGTGGT